TGAGGGGAGCAGCGGGCGGCAGGAGAGGTCTGCACGCAATGCGGGACCCTCCTCTGGAGGCCGGGGAGCAGCCGGGGATCAAACCGGCGCTGCAGAGGCTGCGGGCAGCTTCGCAACCCAGCGCTCAACCGCTGCGCCACCAGGGAGGCCCGAAATGTTCCATTCTTTAACTGAATGCCAGAACAGGGAGGAGGATTCTCTGTGCCAGTCATCAATTTTTTACCTTGTTTTCAAATTCCAGAACTGTACCCTAAGAACATTTCCCCTTTGATGCAGTGTTAGACTGTGGGGCTCTGCAGGTGCACCTCAAGGCATAGGGAAAGGGGGTGTCTCTGTGGTGTGTTTGTTTTTCCTTCAGTGTTGCAGCTGTCAGCAAGGTGTGGGGATCTAGTGACTCTTCAGCTTTCCTGGTATCCCAATGGGAAGCTTCTCGTGAACCAGCTTATACACCCTAGTGGCCACTCCCTGTGTACCAGCTCCAGCTCCCTGTCACCTCAGTGACTTTCCCCACCAGCCAGCCCCTGCCTGCTGCCTTCAGTCACACCTCACAGCAAGGTGTGAATGACTGGTAGGGGCTTTTAGGGTAAATGAAGATGCTCAGGCTTCTATGCTGCTAGCATCTATGGCTATCACCTGCGGCCTTGAATTCAGGATCAGGAGGCGCTTGGGAGCCCGGGCGTAGGGCACGCATGCCTGATGGTGGGCACCTGAGTATGGTGTGGGCATGCGTAAGTGGGCACACCTGAGCCTGGAGGCCGAGGCTATAAGGGCAGCGTCATTTTTCCTGTCCCACTCAGACAGGAAAAATGGCTCCTGCAGAACAGCTAGAGAGGACAATGACTACAGAGGCGGGGCCAGGAGACAACACTAGAGAGCCCAAAGAGAGAAGCGGACAGATTCACCGGGTGCTGTGAGCCTGGCCCCCTGGCCTCCCTGCCTTGCCAGCCTTACAGGCTTGCCCCACAACACTTGGCATAGAAAGAGCATTAAAGTCTGAAAAATCCACTGAGGGCTCCAGGTTTCTCCTTTATCATCTGCCTGAATGGATAGAGAACCTGCCCTGTGCCTGCAGGCTTGGCACTACAGGGCTCTTTGAGGGGAGGGAGGGAGAGAGCAAGGGAGAAAGCGCTGCAGCTTACATTGCTTCCCTGTCTTTCTTGGCGTTCTTTTAGTTCCCTTTTGGTATTAACTTGTGAATAATTTATATTACATTTTCCCTGTTCAAATTACTGCTGTGGTTTCTGTGTCTTGACCCTGGGTGATCCAACCTCTTTGCTTCTGCAGTGGGAGGCAGGGCACTGGTGCCCATTGATAAATACTCACAAGGGCTAATTCTTCCATAAAGGAAGGGGCCTGGGGCTTGCAACCGAAAGAGAATATAGTCGGCTAACAGCCCCAGATGCCTGCTCTCTCAGGTCTCTGCACAGACCTTCCCCTCTCTGGCAGGACTAGCATGAATCCCACCCCCACCCTCACTTCAGTTCTTCAGCTCAGCTCCTCGGGCGCCTCCAAGAGACTTGCTGCAACCCTCCCCCACGTGATTGCTCTGCTGCTACTGTGCTGCTTTACAAAGCAATCATTTATTTTGCTGTTTGCCTCACTAATCCCTACTCTTTAGCCTTCTGAGGGGAGACTGCTTTTTCTTTTCTCCTCAGAGGGCCCTCGGCACATGGAGGGCGCTTGGTGTGTACATGCTGCTTGGTCTAATTAGTTACAAAGGAATCACCTTTGCTGTGGGCAAGTGAAGAGGCCCCCTTGTGTGTGACCAGATAGTTTGGTATTAATAAACAGCACAACTTAATTCGTTTTCACTTAGGGAGAAGTGCCTGTGTAGTCATTGAAAGAAAGTAATGAGTCGGAGAATTTGTCTGATGGGAGAAGGGGAGGACCTGGGAGGGCCAGAGGTGTCAGGCAAAGAGTGTTATGGTCCAAGTTGTGTCCCACAACTTGTTGAAATCCTAACCCCCAGAATGTTACCTTGTTTGGAAATAAGATTGTTGTAGGTGTAGTTCAGATAGGGTCATACTGGAGGATAGATGGACCCCAAGCCAGTGTAACAGGTGGCCTTATAAAAAAGGGGAAATTTGGGGCCTCCCTGGTGGCACATGGGGTTGGAATGCAGCCTATGAAGCTGTCTGCAGCCTCTGCAACACGAGTTCCATCCCCAGCTGGCCAGGGAGCTACCCACATGGCGCAGCAGACCTCTCCTGACTTGCCTGCTGCTCCCCTCAGCAGTGTATTTCATCAGTGTGCCTGTTCTGTTCCCCGCTCTGTTTCTGGTGAATCCTCTCACACACCCCCCCCCACACCTCTAGCCTGTACCCCAGTTCTTATATGCATCAATGGATAAATCTTTTTTTTTAAAAAGGGGAAATTTGACACAGATGCACACACAGAGGGCACCAAATGAAACTTGGCAGGATGCCACGAGCCAAGTGTTTTGCCAGCAAGCACAGGACAGGCTCACTATCAATTTAGGCAGATGGATAAAGGAGAGTTTGGAGCCCTCAGTGGATTTTTCAAGTTTTTTCAATTTTTTAATGCTTTCTCAAAGAACCAGGCACACAGGCACACCAGCCTGGCATGCAGGGAGGCAGGCTCGGGCCGGACAGGGGGCTGCTGGGAGGCAGGCAGTCAACCGAGCCTCCCAGCTCCCCACAAATCTCTACGCTTTTTCTCTGGGCTCTGGCATTCTCTCATGGTCTTGCCTCTTCTGTAGTCACTTGTCCTCTTGTGGCTGTCTCTCATCTCTGAGTGGTGCTGCCCTCATATCTCTGACCTCTAGGCTCAGGCATGCGCCTAGAGTGTGCCCACCCATGCTCCAGGTGTCCACAATCAGGCACGCGTGCTCCACACCCACACTCCCAAGCACCTCTGCTTTAACGTGATCAAGGCTGCAGGTAATAGCCACAGAGGCTAGTGGCGTAAAACTGATCAATTCATTTATCCCCCACCAAGGAACTACCACTATATGTGAGAGGGGCTTGGAACATCCTTCCCTAGCACCTCCAGACTGAAACCCCTGATCTTGGACTTCTAGAGAACTATGAGAGTCTCATTCTAGTGACCTTGGTAGACCAGTCATTTCTGTCTTTTAAACCACCCAGTTTGTGGTCCTTTGTTGCAGTAACCCCAGAAAACTAATATAGAGAATGGGGTATGGACTTGTGTTGTTCCTGGCCTTCTGGTTGGCTCCTTTTGTTTTCTGCCCAGTCTGTGAGGCATTAATGTTCCTTATGAAAATAGCCCTTGAATATTTCGTTATTGTGTTCAGCTTTTCATGACAGAGCAGCAGTTACAAGAGAAACTGGAAAGCTATTGTTTTCATGTGCAATCTTTTTAAATATTGGTAACAAAATATATTTAAATGGGGGTTGACCAAACAAAAGGCCTCTGCAAGGCTACCTGTTTACAACCTCTGCATTAGTGGAATAGTGTTTTCAGGTGTTACAGGAGGAGGATGATCAGGAAGAGGAATTGGCTGCTAGTAACAAGAGCCCACATCTAAGCACTGAGCTCTCCTGTAAGCATCACTTAGGAAATGTCTGTTCAGTGACTGTCCTCCTGTGACAGATGAGGAAACTGAGTCACAGAGGGGCTCACTACCTTGCCCACAGTTAGAAGGGGTGATGCCAAGAACCCAGTCAGGGCTGTGTGAATACAGACACACACACCTTCTGCTCCACAGCAGTCTCCATCCTGCCTGGTGAGGAGAAACATCGGGGCTGGTTCTGAGAAGCTGCTGAGGACTTGTCGCCCAGACGGACTGAGAAACTTTTGTCTCTAGTGCCTGGTAAGTGCATGTACGTTGAACAGACATAGAGAACTAACGGGGCATGCTAAAACAGGGAGGTTGGCTGGTAAAGGACCACTGCTTCCACAGTGGTTATCAGTGTCATTTGTGGTTCGTGACCTTGCAACAAAGTAACTGTTGTTTTAACTGATAACATTGCCAACAAGGTGTGACCTTCAAATAATGGAAGTGACTGTGTAATGCTCTGCCACTCGCTACTTCAGTCCCACTCAGCTGCTCAGTTGTCCTGGTTTGGTTAGGTGATGACAAGACTTTGAGGTTGGCTGTGGGCAGCTCAAGGTCAACACGAGAGCAGGGTCTCATAGACAGGGGCCTGGTGTCTCCTAGCAGGGAATGGATAATTGTGAGGGTGAGCTGGGAAGAAGGTGTTTTAGATTCTATGTTGGTTTAAGCTGCAATGAGGTAGTCATGGGAAGTTTGCATGGTGCCAGGGTTGTATAAAAAGCACGCTGTCCAACTCTCATATCCTCTTTTCTAGAAATTATTGCCTCTCCCCATACTTGGGCATCAGCTGGGCACCGTGTTTACAAGACATCACCTACCCTCCCCTATCACACTGGAGTGCATCAACAGATCAGTCAGAGACCACTGGGGTCTTTTGAAAACCCCTGAACTGAAAGACAAAGCCACATGAACTGAAATGCATAGAAAATGTCTTTAGAACAAGACAATTGTTAATAGAGATGAGAAAGAAAGTCCTCCTGGCTTCTGGAGGCCTTCCATGCAGTAGATAAGATGCACTTCATCCTCCATTCAGACCACACATTTCTCATCTTGCTTTACCTACTTGAGTTGGGTGCTGTTACCAACTCAAGACCCAACCCAAAGGGTCCCATCTCTTGGAGGGGATTAAGTTAGGACCTTTGATCTTCCCTCTGGCTCCTGATTGAGGCCTGATACAGGCTGGTTTTGGTTTGCCGTTGTTTCCCTCTGCTCTGGCATGGGTGGAAGAGGGGGTTTTGTGATGAGGCCAGGATTAATAAGAACCTCCCGAGGTATTATTTCTAGACCCATTTTACAGAGGAGGAAATTGAGGCGTACGCTACTTGCTCAAGATGACACAGCCAGCAATTTTCTGAGCTAGACTTTGAGACAGTCTGGTTTAGGTCAACCGTGTGCAGGAATTGCTGCTAAAGGACTTTTGTGTTCAAGTGACCAGCAGACATGCCCAGGACAGGTATGCAGATATTGACATGTATTGCCTACTGAAATAACTTGCTTGTAATGCTGTCAGGTCACAGCTGATTTTTAGGTCTTTTTGTGCTCAGCCACACATTTTGTAGGCCTCCTGAAAACACCCTCCTTTTTTTTAAACCAAGGAACTGTGACAAATTTCAAACCAACTCTCAAAAGACTGGTGCTCCCGACTGCTTATTCCGAATCATCTGCCTGTTGCTGGAGAAATCCTTGGACCATTTGGTGGATGAGACATTAGATCCTTTCCTCAGAAACTCGTCATTCTCTAGCAAGATGCCGGTGACATTGATGAAGCTTTCCAAATCAGAGATGGTCAGGATGTTTAGGATCTTGCTCATTTTTCCCAGAAGGACCTGGATCTTCTGAACCCTTGAATCTATTTCCACCTCTAGGATTGTTTTCTTCTCCATTTCACTTAAAATCTCTGGGGGTATGAACTGTAGGAATTCATGGAAGACTAGGTAAGGATAAACAGGCCCAAGTACTGTGCTTACTCCACCCGCACCCCCCTGTCTGTGATCGAGTCTTAGAAACTTCACTCTTGGGGCATAAATGTGTGGGCCCAGCTCCTTTCTGCTGCTGCCCAAACATGCCTGTGGCCACCCTTGTCTGACCCCAAATGAAAGGGTTACCAGCTCTTGGCCCTGCTGCTGTGCCCTCGTGGTGGCTTCTGGATTCTCCCCTTCCATGGGGGGAGACCGAGGCCCTGCAACAGCCAGAGACTGTCTGCAGCATCTGCCTATCAGCCCCACTTCCACATTGGGCTCCTTGGCGTGTGTCTGGGTTTTGGTGGCATTAGGCACCACTGCGGAGAGGCCACCTCTAGGACAACTGCTGCTTTGGTTTGTTCCTTGCAGAAGGCCAAGCCAGGTGGTCCCTGGAGGTGGGTAATAACGAAGGATAACCAATATATTCTATTTCTATGAGGTAACCAGCTTATGAAATGTGTTCACACAGTGTATCTTATTTAAGCCTATGCTATGTCTGTTTTACAGAGAACAACAGGCTCAAAGAGAGCAAGAGTTCAGCCTGCTGTCATGCAGGGACGGCAGAAGGCAGGCGTGGGATGGTGTAGTTCTTCCAGGGCAGCCCAGCTGCGGCCTGGCCAGACCCTGCTGACTCGTCACAATTACACAGATGTGTTCCACTTGGGGCCCATGTGCTAGGGTCACAGCTCCTCCCTGGCTGTCACCCATAGTGTCCCTTCACCCATCCTTTCTGTGTGCCTACTTCCTCTCCTGGCCCTCCGTGAATCCCCTGTCATTCAAAGGTTTGGTGGCCCTGGCCTTGAGGCTGTCTCCACCCTAGCTGCCCCCACTTAGCTGCACTGTTGTGTGGAGGGACAAATGGGTGCTGGGAGAGGAAGGGTGATTCCTCTTTACTGGCTGCTGCTCTGGGCTATCCAGGGTAGGTAAGGGGGTTGGGATGTCAATTTTCAGCTTGTAAAATGACTGGGCTGTCAGGCCGGGTAATCTTGGGTGACCAGCTATCCAGGTCTGCTCAGAACTTTCCTAGTTTTAAAAAGTCCCGTGTTCTGGGAAATCCTCAGTCCTGAGAAAATTGGTTTGAATATTTGGTCACCCTAAATCTACCACGCTGCCACCTCTCCTTTCAAATCATAATCAGTAGCTTAATTTTGCCAGAATCTTCTGTTGGGCTGGTTACTCTAGCAACTTAGTTTTCTGCCTTCCTTATCTACCTGGTGCCATGTCCATCTGTCTAGAATAGGGGACAGGGAAGGGGTGCTGAGGCAAGAATAGGATCTTGTGTGGGTCTTAGTGGGGGGACCAAAGAGATCTGTAGTCCTCTTCTTGACTCTGGTCCTTAGGAAGGGGCTCAAGAGCCCATCCAGGTCCAGACTAGCCATTTTTTTGGTTCCCCCCTAAAATATGTCTAGGTCCTATTTTCCAGTACCTGGGAATGTAATTTTATTTAGAAATGTGGATTTCACAGATGAATTTGGTTAAGGATCCCAGGATGTGGTCATCCTGGACCTTGGGTAGCCCTAAATCCAATGGTTGGTGTCCTTATGAGAGAGAGACTGAGACACAGAGAAGCTCTGTGAAGATGGAGCCAGAGAGTGGAGCAGCCACAAGCTAAAGAGCCCCTGGAACCACAAGATGCTGAGACAGGCCTGGATGGAGTCTCCCTTAGAGTTTTTGGAAGGAATGAGGCCCTGCTGACACCTTGATTTCAGACTTCTCACCTTCAGAGCGGAGAGAATAAATTTCTGTCATTCTTAGCTACCAGGTTGTTGCAGCCTGAGAATATGAATACACCTCTGCAGCTTTCTTGTCCAGGCTAAACAGAGTGCCTGGAACTCCAGGTTGCCATTTGTTTTGAGTGTGTTTGGGGAGAGAGAAGAAGACCCCAACCATGGGGCTGGGGACACAGATTTCTCCTTGTTTCTGGCCCTGCCACCTGACTGGCCTGCCCCATTTGAGTTTCAGGTAAGAAAATGCATGTGACCATCTTTGTTTGTCTGGCTCTTGGTCAAGCTATTTGAGGCTGATCCTCTCCTCAGAGCCTAGTGCCTTTGTTATACAAATGCCTTTGTATACAGTCAGGCATCAGGTCCATGAAGGTTTCCTGCTGTTGGAGTTGTGAAGAATGCAGTGTGGAGGCCTGTGGCGTGGACCAGTCCCAGCCAGCAGTGACCTGAGTGCAGGTGGATGCCTTCCTGGCAAAGGGTGTGGGGAGTTGAGACCTTACCTTGTACTTGGTGCCCAGGTTTAAATAAATCCTCTGTGCTTGGTGGGTGAAGCAGAGCTTGATATTATCCTGGCTTCTTATTTGTATCTTGATGTACTTATTGATTTCCAAGGAGATGGAGCAGAATGGGGGTGCGTGGACATGGATGCTCAGGTTCCACCAGTTCCAGGCCTTCTGGAATTTGCCTTTGGGGAAGTAGTAGCCCAGGTTCTGACTCAGGCTCAACCTAGAACAAGAGGGTGTCAGGCGGCCACAGTGCTCGGCTCCAGGGGTGAGGATCCCTGCCTCTCCTGGGGCAGAGCAGGCCTCTCCTCATCCTCCCTCCCTGGTCTTTCTCTCCTTTACCCACAAACTAGCCCACAGGGTCTTGCCAGGTGCAAGGAGTTGCAACAAGGAAGGCAAACTCAAAACTAGGCATAACCCTTCAGCCATGGCTGGGTCTGAGTTCAGTCTTCTTGTGCCGGCTCCCCAATCCTGCCGTCTCCCTTCAGTTTCTGGGTCACATGTGTTCTTTCTCTTCCTGCTCATGGCTTCTCCATGCTGTTCCCTCTGCCTGGAAAGGACTTCCCTTCCTGCTTGGAGTGACTGGTCCTGCTTACCCTTTATATCTCTGCAAAAATGCTATGTCCTAACAGTCCCTCAAATTCCCTACATGACGCCCCATCTCTGCCCTTTGTTAGTTCCCTTCATATAATGTACTAATTTTTTTTTAAGTTAACTGGGTACAGTCAGAAGCACGGGAGGGTGAGAGAATTCACCAGAGCCAGAGCAGGGAGCAGAGCAGGCAGAAGGACCCAAGTACACTGCTGAGGGGAGCAGCGGGCGGCAGGAGAGGTCTGCGCGCCATGTGGGACCCTCCTCCGGTGGCCGGGGAGCAGCCGGGGATCAAACCGGCGCTGCAGAGGCTGCGGGCAGCTTCGCAACCCAGCGCTCAACCGCTGCGCCACCGGGGAGGCCCTATAATGTACTAATTTAAATATATTTACTTCATATAATTTACAGTTCAGTCTCATTATTTGTAGTAATTCTATAAAGTCAGCTCAAATACTGAGTTAGCAAATACTGAGCACATTGTCCCAGGGATTAATATGTATATTTACAGCTCACACAGAGAATATTAAATCCTAAAAACTCCACCCAGTAGATTCTATTATCTTTATTTTACAGGGGAGAGAACAAGGTCCAGCAGCGCTCAGTGGCTTGCTGGAGTTAGTCATGTCCTGTCCCGTAGCCCCAGAGGCTGAGCTTCTCCCACCGCAGTGCCCTGCCCCCTCCCAGCTGTCCTCTGCCCACCTCTGTAGGGGCTCAGGCAAGAAGGCAGAGCCACGTCTTGTTCAGCCTCGCCTGGGAACACATATATCAGAAGACTCAAATTTTCACTGATCTGTGCAAGTTTCTCTCTCCACCCACCCACCCACACACACACACGTTCAGCATATGCTAACTCAGTGTTTGTGAAGACTTGACGCGTAACTGTTGCTGATAAGGAGCGTCCACTGCATGGCCGTGTGTCTCTCCACAACGGAGATGTGTTCTGAGGAATGAGTCGTCAGGGCTGTTGTCATTGGCCCGTGTCAGGGCTGCACTTACACACCCTCAGTGGTGCAGTCTCCCCCAGGCTTGAGTGTACATAGGGGCCACTGTCCTACATGCAGTTCAGATTTGACATAAACACTTGCATTTCCTGACGGAGAAGAGGACAGAGAAGGACTCATCCTCGGTAGGAGAACAGGTCTCTGCCAGCTGCTCACCCTTCAAGTGCCTCCCATCACAGTTCTTGTACTAGACCCTCCCTGCTTCCTGGATTTGACGTCTGTCCCTGCTCCAGGGGTCCCTGACTCTGGGCTAAGGCTCCCTCCCTGGCAGAAGGCCTGGCTGGGCTGGTGCTGGACTTAGTTTCCACACACCTGGCAAGTTATCCACGCCTTCCTCCTTCCCCAAGGAGCACCCAAGAGATGTTCAGTCCTTGAAACTCTTGCCTCTAAATCCTTCCTAGGGCCTGCGGGACAGTGGAGGAGCTCTTGTTAGCATCAGTGCTGGGTGCAGAGGTGGGGCCGGAACCTGGGGAGCCAACCACAGAAATTTCTAGCAGTGATTCAGGTTGGTAGACTCTGGCTAAGCAGCTTTGTGTGTTCCCCAGGACTTGGAGGGTCTTTTTCACAAAATCTTTTTCCCGTGACAATGGGACTGGGTTCTGATGATGAATTCCCTCAGGGCACTGCTCTGCTGCCACTGCCCCAGGGAAGGACCAGTTGGGGGTGGAGAGCCCATTTTTCCCTGTAGTGTGACTTTTGGGGGTTAATGGGCATGAAGGGGAAGTGCACGTGGACAGTCCCTCTCTCATGGAATCTGTGATGCTCAAGACACCTTCTCTGGCACTGTTTGCCTTTGGTTTAAGCCAGCAAGAACATGAGTAGATGAGATGCAGCTACCCTAGGGGAGACAGGACAATGTGGCAACTGCTTACAGATAAGTGGCGGGGCACTCCTAGGAGCAGGCAAGCACTTGGGCACTGGGCCTGTGTGCAGAGGGTATGGGGCCTGCTGATGGAGAGAGAGGCTGGGGCTCTCTCCCCACTAGGCCGCATGTCCAGCACCAAGAAAGAAGGGATAGGACAATGCTGTGACATCATTTGGGAGGAAGAGGCTTTTCCTGCCATGGGAACAGCTGGGGTGCAGAAAGGAGAGCAGGGGGTGCCTGGGAAGTTAGAGAAGCCAGGGCAAAAAAGAATATAGGCCCGGATGGTGGCCTGGGTCTTGATTGGGGGCCCTGTGGACAGGACCTGCATAGGCCTTTTGAGACATTTACTCTGAGCTTAATTAGCTTTGAACACTGGGAAGCCTCCTAATTTCTCTAGCAGAGGAGGAGTCAGAGTTAGAAGGGGATGATACTAGTGTGCCTCCTGCTCTTGGGAATTCATGGGTTGTGAAATGATTAACACCTTTTCAGAAAAACTGCCAAGGCAAGAAGATAGCAGGTCCAGGCAAAGAGATGGGAGATGACAAGTCAGAGATCCTAGTGCCTGAGCCCTGGAAGCAGGGCTGGCTGGGAAGAGACACGGAAACTCTGGTGGCTGCTGGCCCCCGGGAAAGGCCCTCTGGGTGGGTCCATTTCCTCATGAAGTAGGGACTTTCTGGGAGTCCCAGAAGTGGTCTAGGATGTCAGCATGACCAACCATCTACTTCTGAGGGGAGGCTCCCTGAGGGGTTTGATGAGAGGACAGGATGGATTCCCTCAGAGTTGGGGGGAACACTGGTTTGGGCTCTCACACCCAACTGGTCTGTGGGATCCCTGGGAAGCTTATGAAGAATTCAGATTTCTAGGTCCCACCCCAGACCAGCAGAATCAGAATCTGAAGAGTGGAGCTCAGTCCTTTGCCAGCTCTAAGCACCATCCTGATGGACTGAGATTCAAGTGTAAGGTGTGGTATCTCTTGCATGCCTTACTTGATAATTTTTTAAAAGTATGTTCTATTGTAGGCTGAGTCAAAGCTTTGTACAACTTCTTGCCTGTGTGTGTGTGTTTTTTTTTAAAGATTTATTTATTTATACAAGAACCGGGGTACAGGCCAGATGTATGGGAGGGTGAGAGAATTCACCAGAGACAGAATGGGGAACAGAACAGGCAGACTGACTGAAATACACTGCTGAGGGGAGCAGCGGGCGAGACAGGAGAGGTCTGCTGCGCCATGTGGGATTCTCACCAGCCGGCCAGGATCAAACCCACACTGCAGAGGCTGTGGACAGCTTCACAGTGCAGCATTCAACCACCTGCACCACCAGGGAGGCCCTTGCCTGTGTTTTTATGTATGACTCTGGACAAGTGACCTATCATTTTTGCTGAGCCTATGTTTCCTCATCGATAAAAGTAGTTCCTAGACTTCCCCAAGGTCTCTTCTGGCTCTGGAAGTGTCATTAGGAAGCAGAAGCCCTACTAGTAGCCACACACTCTTCTGGATCATTAACAGAGTTTCTTGTCCCCACTCTTGGTGCTCCTAGTACCCAGTGCCTTCTTCACTGCCCAGACCTCAGCGACTATGCACAGAGAACTCTGAGAACAAAGTAGTCAAATAGGGAGTGGTGTGGGAAAACACTCATAGCAGAGGAAATAGCCTTAAAGACTAAGGCCTGTGAAGATTCTTTTTCAGAACTAAAAGGAAAAAAAAAATTGGCTTTCACTAGGAAAAAGGAAGAGAGTATACAGTTGATCCATGCTATAACATGTATTTCCCAGGGCCTGACCGCTGAGGAGGGGACAGAGGAAGGGAAATCCTTACCTGAAGAGATGGGGATGTTTTTAAAATGACTGAATTACCTTGAATTAGTAAAATGAAGTGTCTCGCCATTTCAGAAATGGGGATTGAAATGTAGTCTGGTACAGTGAAATATTTAGAAGTTGCGTTTTTGTTATAATACATGGATCTCCAAAACACTCACCACGGCCTCCTTCCCCAAACCTCAGAACAGAGGGGTCCTGGGTCTTTCGAAGATAATTCCCACAAGTTTTGGCTCCCAAGAGGTGCGGAGGAGATGACGGCAGTAGAAGTGGTTGTGTGAGTCTGTGGTTCTGTTTCACCCGTGGGGAAGCAATGGGGGGTGGGGTGGGGGCGCGGATAGTAAACCTTCATCAGAGTCAGGGATTTGTCATGTTGGTCCATCATGGTGCCCAGCTCCCATTTCCAACATTTGTGACTAGGAGAAATGAATTCACGAGAGAGAGAGAGAGAGAGAGAGAGAGAGAGAGAGAGAGACTGATCCAGTGAGGGCAGATGACCATAGAGACTGGGACTTGAGGACCCCACAGCCCTTCTCCATGGGGACCCCACAGCCCTCCTCCTTGGGGAGGGGTGTGTGGGACTCAGACCCAGGCTCACCAGATTTCTTCGTCTTCATCATAGAAGGTGACATGACCACTGTTGTCGATAAGGGCCCGGACATTCTGTTTTCTACTGTCTTCCAGAATGATGTACGTGAACTCTCTCTTTTTGGTACTGAGGATGAGCAAAGCCAGGTTTCCTGATGGATAACTGGGAGATGGTTAAGGTACAAGCAGTCCCTTGGGATCCCTAAACAAGGCAGGGCCGTGCAGAGGGTGCAGGCCTCAGCAAAAACCATGCTCCAGCCCCAATTCACAGATTTTTTAGGGACTATGTGTGTCAATGTAAGTGTCCCTCTACGCCAGTGGATACTGTATCTGGCCCGATCCATCAGCAAAGATAATTTGGAAGACATTCTTACTGGGGTAGAGAATTATTTTTGCATCATCATCATGTACCTGGGAAGAAAAGACAAGGCTATGAACAGTGTGCAGAGGCTGACTGTCCCACTTCGGAGCTCTGTGTGGTCCCTAGGGTGCTCAGGCTTGCCTGCTCTAGTTTGGAGCCCACACCCCACTCCCCCATTGCCACTGCCCCTTCTCTATCACCAACTTGCAGGGGAATCTGGGCAGGAAACCACTCAGGGTCTCAGTTTACTTGTCTAGGTGGTGAGGAGGCTGAACCAGGTCACTGTGTGTGTGTTGCAGACTATCATTTCAATTACTTTAAATATAAAATTTTTTTTTAAAATATGCTTAACTATTTTATTTATTTATACACGCACTGGGTATAGTCAGAAGCACGGGAGGGTGAGAGAATTCACCAGAGCCAAAGTGGGGAGCAGAGCAGCCAGAGGGACCGAGGTACACTGCTGAGGGGAGCAGCGGGCGGCAGGAGAGGTCTGCGCGCCATGTGGGACCCTCCTCCGGTGGCCGGGGAGCAGCTGGGGATCGAACCGGCGCTGCAGAGACTGTGGGCAGCTTCGCAACCCAGCGCTCAACCGCTGCGCCACCGGGGAGGCCCCATTTCAATTACTTTAATGGTTATTGGGTATAATAGTTTTTTAGGGCTGTGTTAGCAGACTACCATAAATCGCATTTTGAGATGACAGAAATGTATTCTCTCAGAGTTGTGGAGATTAGAAGTCTGAAATCAAGATTGTCAGCTGCGTGGGTAGCTTCTGGAGGCTCTTAGGAAGGCCTGCTTCCTTGGTTCTTGGCCTGTATTTGCATCACCACAATCTCTGCCTCCCCCTTCACGTGGTGCTCTCTCTGTGTGTCTGTCTGCATGGGGCCCTCTTGTTAGGACATGATCATATTGGGGTGGCCTACTCCAGTGTGCTACCATCTTAACTAATCACATCCTCAAAGACCCTGCTTCCAAACAAGATGAAATTCTGAAGTCTTGGGGATTGGACTCCCACATACCTTTTTTCAGAGGACACAATTCAACCCATAATACTGGCATGTCCAGGTTTCTAAATTTCTTTTTGAATCAGTTTTATTGAATTATAGTTTTCTAGGATTTTGCTTGTTTTTATCTCATATTTTCAAATTTATTGTCATAAAAATTTTGTCTTATAATGTTTAAAAAAGCCTTTACTATCTGCTGTTCTGTCCCATATTATATTTATCTTCTCTTTGTTCTGACTCAATCTTGCCTGAAGATTTGCCTACTTTTTCTTTTTCTTTTTTTTTTTTTAAAGATTTATTTATGTAAGCATACAAGAGCTGGGGTGCAGGTCAGAGATGTGGGGGTGTGTGTGAGAGGATCCACCAGAGACAGAGCGGGGAGCAGAACAGTCAGACAGACTGAAATACAATGCTGAGGGGAATAGTGGACGAGACAGCAGATGTCTGCCTCACCATGTGGGTTGCTCCCTGGAGGGCTGGGGATCGAAATCATGCTGCCGAGGCTGCGGATTGCTTCATAGTGCGGTGCTTTAACCCCTTGAGCCACCATGGAGGCCCCGATTTGCCTACTTTCTAATCTTTCAAAAAACCAGCTTTTGGTTTTCTATTCTTTTATTTTTTTATAATATCAGTTTTTGCTCTTATCATTTATATATTTCTCCATTTTGTGGGTTTTCTATATTATCCTACTTTATTTCCTAATTCTTTGAATTGTTGAGCTAATTGGTTTTCATCTGTCTTCTTCAAGATCCAATTCCTTCTTCTTTTATATAGACATTAAGTTAGATTTTTTTGTTTTCCTTTTTTTTTAAATTGAGATAACATTGATATACAGTGTTGTCTATAACTTATAAGTATAGGATCACCCCCTTCAGGCATATGTTACCATACCACACCCACTGCCAAGATACCCATAGTCCTCCACCATAGTCCATTGTACCCCCTCCCACTTTGCTCTTACCCCTCTCTCTGACTTCTCTCCTGGTAGTTTCAGTTCAAAGTCAGATTTCTAGGGTTTGTTATTGGTTTGGTTTTATCTGACCCTTTATTTTGATTCTGTATACTCCATATATAAGTGAAACCACCTAGTATTTGTCTTTTTCTTTCTGACTTATTTCACTTAGCATAATGCCTATTGTTCCATCCATGTTGTTGCAAATGGCAAGAGTTTATCTTTTTTTTTTTTTAAATAGCTGAGTAGTATTCTTGTGTGTGTGTGTGTGTGTGTGTGTGTGTGTGTATGTGTGTATGTACCACATTTTCCTATTCACTCATCTGTCTTTGGGCACTTAGGTTGTTTTCATACCTTTGCTATTGTTGAGTAGTGTTGCAATGAACATAGGAATGCATGTGTTCCTTCAAGTTAGTGTTTTTGAATTCTTTGGGTAGATACATAGGAGTGAAATTGCTGGATCATATGGTAGATCCATTTTTAATTTTAAAAAAACAACAACATACTCTTTTCCAGAGTACTGGACCAGCCTAATTCTCACCAACAGTGTAAGAGTTTTCCTTTTTCTCCACATCCTTGCCAACACTTGTTGTTTCTGGTCTTTTGAGACTGGCCATTCTCACAGGTGTGAGGTGGTATCTGATTGTGGTTTTGATTTGCATTTCCCTGATGATAAGTGATGATGTGCATTTTTCATGTGCTGTTGGCCATCTGTATGTCTCCTTTGGAGAAGTACCTACTTAGCTCTTCTCAGTTTTGAAAATTGGGTTGTTTTCTTTTAGTTGAATTGTATGAGTTATTTGTAGATCTTGGATATCGACCTCTTGTCAGCTGTATGGTGTGCAAATATTTTCTCCCCTTCAGCAGGCTGTCTTTTGGTTTTGTGATACTTTCTTTTGCTGTGTGAAGGAGCTTTTTAATTTGATGTAGTCCCAATTTCTTAGATTCTCTTTTATTTTTCTTGCTATTGGAGATAAATATACAAAGACATCTCTGAAGTCTATATCATGGAGTGTTTTGCCTATGTTTTCTTCTATGTATTTTAGAATTTCAGGTCTTTTATCCAAGTCTTTTATCCATTTTGAGTTAATTATGTGTGTGGTGTGAGGTAGTTGTCTAGTTTCATTCTTTTACATGTGACTGTCCAGTTTTCCCAATACCATTTATTGAAGTTTTATTTCTCCTTCTCCTTTAATATAAACATTTAAAACTCTGTCATTGTTTCCCAATTTCCAATATGATTTCTTCTTCAAGACACAAGTTATTTACAAGTGTATTTTAACACTTACAAATATTATGAGCATAATTCCTTTTAGCTCCTTCCATGTTGCTGTAAATGGCATTAGTTTATCTTTTTTGATTGCTGAATAGTATTCTTTTGTTTTTTTTAATTATTTAGTTTTTTAAAAAGATTTATTTATTTATTTATACAAGCACTGGCTATAGTCAGAAGCGTGGGAGGGTGAGAGAATTCACCAGAGCCTTGGGCCTCCCCGGTGGCGCAGCGGTTGAGCGCTGGGTTGCGAAGCTGCCCGCAGCCTCAGCGGCGCCGGTTCAATCCCCGGCTGCTCCCCGGCCACCTGAGGAGGGTCCCACATGGTGCGCAGACCTCTCCTGCCACCCGCTGCTCCCCTCAGCAGTGTACTTCGGTCCTTCTGCCTGCTCTGCTCCCCGCTCTGGCTCTGGTGAATTCTCTCACCCTCCCGCGCTTCTGACTGTACCCAGTGCATGTATAAACAAAGCAAGCAAACAAACAAATAAATAAATAAATAACATGCCTCTATAAAAAAAAAAAAAAATAAAAAAAAAAAAAAAAGAATTCACCAGAGCCAGAGTGGGGAATAAAACAGGCAGACCGATGAAATACACTGCTGAGGGGAGCAGCGGGCGCATCAGGAGAGGTCTGTTGCGCCATGTGGGACCCTTGCCAGTGGCCGGGGATCAAACCAGCGCTGCAGAGGCTGCGGGCACCTTCGCAGCCCAGCGCTCAACCGCTGTGCCACCAGGGGAGGCCCTACAGGTATTCTTTTGAATCAATGTTGTTGTGTCCTCTGGGTAGATCCCTAGGAGTGGAATTGCCAGCTCATATGGTAGCTCCATTTTTAGTAGACTGAGGAACCTCCATACAGCTTTCCATAGTGGTTGGACCAGTTTGCACTCCCACCAGCAATGCAGGAGAGTTCCTTTTTAACATCTGTTGTAGCTAGCTTTTTTGATACGTGCCATTCTTACTGATGTAAGGTGGTACCTCATTGTGGTTTTGATTTGCATTTCCCTGATTATAAGGGAGGTTGAATATTTTTTCATATGCCTGTTGACCATTTGCATTTCCCCTTTGGAGAAGTGTCTTTTAAGTTCTTCTGCCTATTTCTTGACTGGATTGTTTACTTTGTTTTTGTGGAGTCGTGTGAGTTCTTTGGTATACCTATGTTCAACTAGCACTCCCCAATTGCTCTAGGTATAAAAACAATTCCTCTCTTAGTGCAAGAACTTGAAAATCCTTATACTCCTTAAGCTATACTCATTAACTCCATGACGTCTAACAATACCTGACATAGCACTGAGCAGTATTTTTTGTTCATTGACTATCTCGTCAACTAGAATATAAGTTCTCTGGGCACAGAGCCTTTGTTTTGCTCACCCTTGTATCTCTAGCACCTAGGAGAAGGCCTGGGCATAGCAGGTTCTCGATACATATTTGTGGAAAGTGTAAGTCTAGCACATCTTCTGAATTCCCACTTCAGTACCTCTTTTTTGAGCTTCAGACCTGGTTATTAGCACACTCTGCATGACTGATATCTTGAGACTAGTTTTACTTTATTGTATCTATCTATATATCGATGTACACCATGTGCCTTGTTTTTTAATAGACTTTATTTTTTAGAGCACGTCACAACAAAATTGAGCAGAAAGTACAGAGATTTCCCATATACTCTCTGTCCCAAACATGCACAGCACACCCCACTATCCACATCCCATACCACAGCGTAAATGTATTACACTCAATGACCTACACTGACATGTCATAATCACTCAAAATCCACAGTTTACAATAGGGCTCACTCTTGGTGGTGTATACCCTATGGCATGGACAAGTGTATAATGACTTACATCCACCAGGATAGTATCAGAAAGAGTATTTTCATTGCCTTAAAAATGCTATTCATCCCTCCCCCTGAGCCCCTGGGAACCACTGATCTTTTTATTATCTCCATAATTTTGTTTTCCCCAGAATGTCATATAGTTGGAATCATACAGTATGTATCTTTCTCAGATTGGCTGCTTTGAGTTAGTGCAATATAGTTAAGTTTCCTCCATGTATTTTCAAGCCTCGATAGCTCATTTAATTTTAACATGGAATAATATTCCATTATCTGGATGTACCACAGTTTATCCATTCACCATATAATCAATTTTTGATATGGATTTAAAATTTATTAATGGGGGCCTCCCTGGTAGCGCAAGGGGTTAAGCACAGCACTGTGAAGCTATCCTCAGCCTCTGCAGCACGAGTTCGATCCCTGGCCAGCCAGGAAGTGACCCACATGGCGCAGCAGACCTCTCCTGTCTCACCTGCTGCTCCCCTCAGCAGTGTATTTCAGTCAGTCTTCCTGTTCCGCTCCCTGCTCTGTCTCTGGTAACTCCTCTCACTATCCCCCCCTCCCTCGCACTTCGGGCCTGTACCCCAGCACTTATATGCATAAATAAATATTTAAAAAAATTTATTAGTAGTAGGGACTAATACAGTTTGATATGTATTTCCTTTACTTCACTCTCAATCTTATCCTACTGTCTATTACAGGCCCTGCAGGGAGAAGGGCCACAAATGAACTCTAGTAAACATACTAATCCACCTGCCAATGCCCACACACTCAGGTGTGCCTCTGTGTACTGGGCACATTTTTCTGGTTTGCATTCATGTTGGTTTTGGTCCTGAGAACTCCCTGGTGTGTCTGCTGAGCCCAAAAAACTGCACAAAATGAGAATACCAGTGCACTGCCACACTCACCTCAGGCCTGTTCTCTAGGACTTCTGTTTCTATTTCTAAGTTCTTCTGGAGCTGAAGAGGAGTTTTTTCGTCCTCTGTTTCAGGCTCTTCTGTCTTCTCCGTTGGTAGTGACATATTTGATAATTTATATGTTAAGGTATTCTCTGTAGCTTTAAGTAAATCTTTGGTGGAAGAGACAATGAAAATTAGATTTTTTTCTCTCAAGGTGCCAAAGAGAGTTTGCAGTTTTGGAATATCAGTCATATACCCCCAAATAAGGAAAGCTGCCAGGTAATAGAATAAGCTTTGGAATGGAGAAATGTGGGGGGTTGAATTTCCGGCTCTTTCATTTTTTTCCCTACTCATTAGTTGATCATATATTTATCAAGGGTCTACACTGTGCCAGCCCAGTGCTGGAAGCCAGACACCACAGTGAAGACGCCCCTCTCCCTAGCCCAGATTCGGGGCTGCGAAGTGTGACATAATGGCAACGTGCCAATAAAAAGCATGGCAGCTAATTCTGTTAATTGAAAAAGTAGACCAAAGTGGGAAATCATTAAAAAAAGAAAAATACCTTAAACATTTTATTTTAATTTAAACAAATGTTGTAACATGTCATTTTCAAATGTGGGACAAGTGTTTCCTTTGCATTTAGATTTGATGTCTGGCTCTGTGATTACTTTTTACTCAAATCACATTCATAACATATTATCATTGAATTTCGGTTTTGGAATTTCTAAAGAAGTTGAGTGCAGAAATATAGACTTAAAACAAACAAACAAACAAACAAAATAATCCCCAATCCTTTATGTATGTTTGGCCCGCATCTTGATCAAAGTTTTTTTTTTTTTTTTTTTTAGTGTGAAAGAACTTTAATAGGATAGTGTGCATAGAGAGAGAAGAAAGCATAATTTCCCAACGAAACACCCAAAGTAAGCCATCACCTCCTGTCTAATCAGAGATTTTTGCTAAAACTTTTCTAAATTTCTTAAAGCACTTCACTTAGTTTTTATAGTAACAAGTTTCTTTTTAGCTTCATTTTGCCCACTTTCATCATGACTGAATTTTGGAACTAAGTAAGGACCACAGAGGAACAAATCCTGTCTCCCAGCAACTTTTGGAGGGCGTGCCTAACATCGTGGAGCGGGGACTGGCTGTGGGGGCAGGTAGTGAGGGGCGGGGCTTCAGGCACCCTGCAGCACCCTGCAGCACCCTGCAGGTCAGAGCGCCTCAGGCCAATAGGCTGGGGTGCGTTCAACTAAGAGAGCTTATATTTCCCTTCACCCAGGTCCGCACAACTTTGGAGGAGGCCTCTGAGAGGACATGAACATGGGCTACGTGAGCTGGGCCCGGACAGTCGGAGGTGGTTGACCGCCTCTCCTGTCCTTGGAATTCCGTCCTGCCTGCAGCCCCGGCAGTGGGAACCATTTATGAGGACGTGGTCTTGAAAGAGCCGTCTGTTATTAGACCGTCTGGACTGAATACGTGCCTGACCTCAGCTTAGGCCTCTAGATAAAATGTGATTCTGCCAGAAAGCTCCTCCTTAAGCCACAGCCCAAGTCAGGCCTGTAAGGTAAGTTCCCTTACTGAGGCTGCCACCTCCACCCTGGAGTGGTCTGCGTCTTTGTTTGGTCTCTCTGCCTAGCGGGGTCAATTTTAGATTTCACCTCGGGAACCCTGGAGACTGCAAATCAGCATCCAGGGTGCCCTGAGACGTCCCCAGAGGCCACTTCGCAGGGCCTGGAGGGTGGGCAGATTTCCAGTGGAAGTTGTCTCTAAGGTGGAAGGGAACTGCCAGCATAAGTGCTGTATTGTTGGGGGCCAGCATAGTGTGCGCTGTTGGTGACAGATGGCTCAGGAGAAGTTGACAAGGCTAGATCACTCCTTTATTCACTCATTCAGTAAAGCTCTATTGTGTACCTGTGCGCGGAGAACTGTCCTAATGTTGTGATGTCATGGTCCCTGCTGGTGGGGGAGGCACATGGATGCTAAACAAGTGAACAGTAAAAACAATATGCATCTGGCTAGCAGTGCTCTGGAGAAAATTAAGGAGGTTGAGATGGAAAACGATGTGAATGTGTGCATGCGTTTGTATACCCTGCTTTGCAAAGGGTAACCAAGGAAGCTATTTCTGAGAAGGTTAAAGCAGAGACCTGAATAAAGTGAGGAAGTGTAACAGGGTGGTCAGGTTTGCAGGGTTTGGGCTGACCCTCTCCCTGTCCTATAACAGAAGCAAGTCTCAGGGTTGTCAGAAGGAGGAGTATGTTGGGCAGAGGAACAGCAAGTACAAAAACCCTATGGCAGGGATGAAAAACATTTGATGAATAACAATTGATGAATAACAATGATGGATTCATTGTCTGGAAGGAAAAGGTAAGAGCCTTTCAAACCAATTAAGAAATGTGGGCATTTCCTGGAGGAACAATGACTATTTTTTTTTATAAGAGAAAGAGTCGAAAAGAAGTTTAATGATAACTTGTATACTTGCTGTATACATGGGAGGGACCCAGTGAAACTGAATAATGTGTAAGGTCTCAGGTGCCATCTTAAGTAGCTTAACTAAGAGGAGGGGGTGGGAGGGGAGAAGGGAAGGTGGCTCAGGAGTTTACTGAGGAAGGCCTTGTAAACAAAGGGCGCACATTTAAGTCTGCCTTTTCTCAATGAAGGGTTTTAAAAAGGTTATCCTGGAAACAATGTGAGGAAATGGCCTAGAGAGAAGTTAGGCATCAGAGGGATTAGGGAAAACTCCCAAGGGGGAGACAGCAGCTGTGTGGTGTGTCAATGAGAACAGAAAGACAGTGGGTGGGGCTGGGGAAGGAGCCCCTGGACCCTGCACCTGAGGGCAACTCAGGTTGCCTTCATTAGAATTCAAAGAGGGAAAATGTGAGTCGAGTGGGGCAGGGGCACGTGGAGGCTTTTGCAAGAAATTGGAAACACATGTCAGTCTTCCTCTAAGCAGTACCTTCTCCTGGGCTTTCTTGCAGAATGTTGGTGGTTTATCAGAGCTGGAAGAAGCTGCGGTGAGCTCAGCAGCTGTTCCTGAGTATCAATTAGAAGTTAATAAACAGCTTTTCTGAATGGCAGTAATAACAGGGGGCATTTAAATGCTCATTTGTCCCCCTGTCAGAAAGCTGAGACATTTGGACATTTTGGTTTGTACTATATCCTCTGCTCTGCCTTTATTAGATTAGGGGTTAGGCCATAATTTCTGAGTCTCGGTTTCCTTAAAATGGAGTAATGCTGCCCGTAATAATCTGGGGGTTACTGTGAAATGCTTGTACCACCTGCCACAAGGTCAGCCTATCTGTCTGTCACAAGGGAGCTTTGAACTTTGATGGTTCAAGGATCAAGCTGTGTAATGTTCTCTTGCTTCTTTTTACTATAATACATGGTGCTGAACAGGAAAGGCTACATAATGAGAGATCCTATGTAAATGAAAATGCATGGATCCTTGTTCTGAAATGACTAGGACTATCAAGAGAGTGACAGCAGAGTACTAAACCAATGTGGGGTGCTGTGTGATTGCGTAGGTCACATGCCTGTGAAGCCAATCTTGACTTAGAAATCCGGGTGTTCAGATATGAGACTGTGGGCCTGAAATATGGAATATTGGGTGGGATGCTGGCAATATATGAGTTTGTATCTTAAACGAGTCTGATCGATTTCTCTGGGCCTGGCTATAGCCTGAACACAGAGGGGGTGCCTCTTATCAGTTAGAAATGTTGCTTTTCTGTATAAAAAGTACAAATGTTCGAGGCAATAGTTATCCAGAGAAGCAGGGAATGGGCAGGCATGGTGGTAAGGCACGATGAAGACTTGGCTGTTTGTATTATATCAAATTTCATTTTCTAGTTGGAAGTTCTATACTCGGTATGTGATAGTAGGGTGTCCTGAGAGGCCTTAATTTCCCAAAAGGAACAAACGGTCATGTCTGTCTACCTCCATTCCAGAAATACTGAAATCTGTGCCTTACTGAGGTGTCAAGGAATGAAAACCACAGGCATCTGCCACCCACAAGGAACAGAAATACAAGCAGTAGACAAGTATAATAGAACTTTGTTATGTTTTGGCTGCTGAGCATTTTAATTCCCCTCCTAATTTTGGGGGTACCCCTTTGTGAGTCTTGGGAGGCAGAGCACTCTCCTTGTAGAAACTGAAGGTGGTGATTCCTTCTTCCTGCTTCTCAATTCTAATGAGAACATGAGATCTATGCTTAGAAAACTCCACATTTTCTTCTTTATAACACACTTACTAGCCCTGAACTTGCCAACGGAATGAGCCCTAGGAGGTTTGGTCTTACAGATCTTGGGCACGAGTCTTAACTCAGGCCCACACAATGGCTGGGTGACCTTAGGCACATCACTTAGCCTCTCTGAACCCTGGTTCACATGGTTAATATGGATTAATTTGAGTTAGATGGTGCATGTGAAAATACCTATTGTGTGACAGTTATTCTATAACAGGTCAGTTATTCTATAACAGGTGAGGGGCCCTGGGGAACAGGGCTATTTCCTTCACAGGGGATTTAAGGCTGTGTCCTGGCTTGGTGAGATAAAGCGCCACTGTTGATTGACTGTGTTTGCCAAAGGTATCATTGTCGTTTCTACATTAGTTGGCTCTAGTACCTTTGATAGGTTCCAAATCCCTCAGTGGATGCCTGAAACTTTGTTATCGAACCCTGTGTGTGCTATTATTTTCCTATACATATATACCTACCATAATGTTTACTTTATAAATTCAGCACAGTAAGACATTAACAGCAACAATGATAAACTGAAACAATTATAATAATAGTATATTGTAATTAAGGTATGAATGGGGTCTCTCTCAAAACAACTTATTTACATAGTATTTTCAGACTGGTGTTGACTGTAATATGATAAGGGGGTGCTACTATAATCTCTAAGGAATTGCATACAGTAGTTTTGAGTTTCTGAGCTGAGTAACCAATAGCTTAGTCTGTAGGTTAAGCCTTCCATGACTGGATCCCAAAAAACTGGCAATTTCCACCATGGACAAATCTTCATAGCTGGACTTCAGATGTCTTCTGTAACTTACTAAGGGACTATTTCTTTCCTAGACTTTGTGTTAATAATAACTTCTTGGAGGCCCCCGAATCTAAGTTAGAGCTCTTCCTGTGTGGTCCCATTGCATGCCCTTCCCATCGTATGACTTAGCTGACTGTATGCAGATTTCCTGCTGCCATTTTGTATACAGATTTCCTGCTTTCTTATTTATCCTCACCATCCTCACCCCGCCCTACCCTCCTCCACCACTACCAGTGCACAAGCCGAACGAGGTCCCATACTGTGTCTGTCTTACTCAGTATTTTGTCCCGAGAAGCTAGGACCTTGCCCTGTAGGTGCTCAAATGAGAGAACAAGCATTTCCACCCCCGCTTTATGGTCCGAGGTAGAAGGGGACAGAGCGAGACATACACAGGAGAGGCCTACAGAGGATGGAAGGTAGAAGAGAAGTCCTTACTTTCACGTCTCTTCAGAAGCCATAGAATTATTTCCTTGTAGTCTTCAAAATTTGTCTTCAACCTAAAAGGAATGTGAATTATCTTTAAAAACTGAGATTAAATTCTCATTTACATGTCATGCTACCCTGTGTAGACAGCGTTAGAGCCTGCCGAGTCTTTTTTTTTTAAGGTGGAAAGTGAGGCTGGTAGCTCTGCTTTCTGATCCAGTTTTCCTGAGCTTTGGGGTTCAGGACTAAAGGGACAACACATGATATGGACAGAGTGCTGCCCTCTTGATCTCTAACTGACCTTCAACCTGGCACATGGGCTGACCCCCAAACCTTTCAAAATGAGTTCAGCAAAGTTTATCTTGGGGGGGGGGGTAGGACAGCTCAGGGAGGTCCAAACTCAAGGCTGACTCTGTGGGTTAACCTTGTGCACTTGAGTTTTCCATGACTTGAGTATATTCCAGTGAGGGTTATATTTGGAAATAACTTGGAGAGGCAGCATTGTCTGTGAGCTCATGTCTGTAAGTACCATGGAGCCACTTGAAATCCTTTTATATTTAGAAGGAAAATTTCAAATGAACTCACTCAAAATGAATTACTGTGAAAGCTCCACTAAGGCAAGAGCTTTTCAAAACGATCAAGCCCTTAACCCCCTGTCATGTCAATATATAAAGACAGTGATCTTGGCATTTCTGTGGCTTGGACTGTTTTGCTTCCAAATAAGGGTGACCTCTGGGGCAACTGTGTTTCCTAGTTCTCAGATCAGAGCTCCTTTGAAAGGGGCACCAGGAGTGAGCTTCCAGATTTAATGGCTCTGAGAACAAGGCCTTTGACATGACAGATTTTAAGTTCTCAGTTCAGATTCCTTGAAGAGAGCATAATAATTTAACCCTGAGCAACCCTTGGAAGCAAATGCCCTTTGCTGGAAAAAGGACTGAACTATTCCATTAGACAGAGAGCAGAGGTTTATTATTCGTACTTTAGAAGCAATAGTGAAACTGGAGAATGAGCTCTTTGCTCATTTGTTTCAAATCTTTTTAATCTTAATTTACAAGCACCTTTGATTGGAATTGAAGCAGTTGCTTCGCCTACCATCATTGCTGAACAATAAGAATGAGGAGTGGGTGGGGTGAGGCCTGTCCCACAGGCTGAGAGCAAGGTATCAATGTACGCAAGAGTGAAACTCCAGAGAGGGGAGCCAGCCAGAGGCACCCAAGACTCAAGTTTTCTCACTTTCTCTTTGCCACCTTTGTAAGTTGGTGGAATTCTTACCTGCTAGCTTCTCAGTGGCATGGACTGGGGTAGACAGGACTGTATTCCTAAGAGCCTAGATCATTACACAATACATATTGTGGAAATATTTGTTGAGTGTAGTAAAGTTAGAAAGAGACTCTGTTACAGGCTTAAATGGGAAGTTAACTTACCAGGAAATTATTCTGCATTTGTTTTTGCTGCTATTTAAGAATTTCAAGTTTGGGTGTTCTCTGTCTTTTGTCTTATCCTTTCCTAGAGAAGCTTCCTAGAGAAGCTTCAGAGGCTTCTGCCCTCTGATTCTACTGGGCCCAAAGCAGTTGTTGGCAGTGAATATCACTTCCTGATATTTGTAAAAGCCTCAACTTGCCAAGGAGGTTTTGCAGGGTGGCCCCCTCAGCCTGTTCTTGGTGCCACTGCTGGAGAGTCTGCAACAGACCTTGGGAGGCCTGATCATACATCTTACATAAACAAGGTTTCTGACAGATGCATAACTGGAAACCCAGGCTTCCATGTACCACCGGCTGGATGTTCAAATGGGTTGTGGAACATTTGGTGACTTAGGGCCATGCCAACTAGAAAGACTTGCTTCCAGCAGCAGGGTTGCAACAACCTTACTATTCTCTACTTTAAGTTGGGCTCAGGCTGTGGCTCCTAGGTGAGTAAAGCTCATAGCTTTATCCACTCCAGGGGGGATGTAAAGGTATTAGCTAACCTAGGGTGAAGTTAGGGAGTTTCTTGGGCCCATGACCTTGATAACCCCATTGTCCCTTCTTTTCAAAGGCCCAGGGGTCTGAGCTTTGCTACTCAGAATTTTGTATAAGTTCATGATCCCCTGGAGACTTTTCTTGTCCTGCATTTGCAACCTCTGTCATCATAACTGGTACTGCCCATGTTTGTAGATTTCCTTGCTCTTGAGTTTCCGCGGCCAGATCATTCTGTCCACCTGACTCCTGATGGTGTCCTGGCCCTGGTGCCTAGCCTCTGCCTGCTCTTTGACTCAGAGGAACTGTCTGGTTCTGACTTTGTTGTTTTCTCTGGTGGCCTGATTTATATTTTCCCTGTTGCTACCTCTGGTCTACCCGAACCTAGAGACCCAAGGCTTGATCTCTCCAGTCACTTACAGAATTCCTAGTTTCTTTAGGGTATCACTCTCCAGTTGCCCAGTCAGGGGGATGACAATATCCTCATCCAGTTCGTTGCGAGCGTACATTTCTTTGATTATGTTTCTAAACAATGTCCGATAGGTGATGTTCAGCTATAAAAAGGACCGCAGAGTGAAATATACTGAAAATGAAAATGAACAATCTACTAATTAATCACCTTTTTCTGACTCCCAAAGGTGCCGGGTGATATTTCCACATGCTATTAAGAAAACACAGACAAGAACAGCAGGGAGGCTAGGAGATTTGTCTTAAAGGACATTTCCATTGCCATCAACTCTTTTCTTCTCTCCTCAATTTGCTCAGGAGTTTTTTTCTTTAAACATCACCATGCTAAGAAATCTTTTTGAGCGCATAAGAGTACCCTCTTTTTCCAAATGTGGAGATGACTACAGAAGGTAAAAATACTTCCATACTTTAAGAGCACAAGAGGCCTTTAGGTGCTAGCAATGGCCAAGCCCAGTGGTGCTTGTTCATTCTGTGTGAAAGATGACAGTTCTCAGGAAAGCAAGGTAACTCCTAGCATGTGATTATTAGTGGATATTTCTGAGTTTAAAGATTCTTCCAAAGTAAGGACATTGTAAGCTACCTTTATATTTTGTAAATTCATTCTATGCCAAGTCCATGATGCCAACCAGGACTGAGTCATGGATGGGTCCTCACAAGAAATGGGTCAGTCATGTTACCTGACTCACCTACTGATTGAGGTTGTTATTGTAGTTGTGCAACATCTGATGATGTATAGTGTGCTGGAAAGTTATATAACTTCCTATACTAAGTGGAAGACCAAACCATTCAAAGATGCATGTGACCTGGGGCATATATAAAAATGTAATTTGTGATTGGCTATTTTTTCTATGTTGGGGAGAAAACTAAGATACCTCAGGTCTGGCTTGCCTGAGTCTCAACCTTTGTATACTCCTCTTCCCCTTGCTGGTATTGAATTAGACTAAGGGGCCTTTGGATTGAGGTAGCTGTAATGCTGTGGCAGCCTACCTAAGCCAACCCAAAGCTAAGTCTGTAAACGCCTCAAGGCTGAAGTGAAATCTAAGGACAATCAATTACAAGCAACCAATTGGGCTTTAAGCTACAGCCAATCTAAAACTTCTTGCCCTGCTTCTGCTTTTTCTCTATAAAGTTCTCTCCCTTGCTCTAGTCAGGGGAGCCCTCCCACCCATGTACAGCTTGCTACTCCCCAATTCCAATCAAAACATGTCTATATAAACCTGAAAAAATTTAATATGGCTCAGTTTACTGGAATCAGTGCTTCAGGGCAGAGTGAGGTGCCAATATTCCCGCCTCTAAATTCCTCTTTGTTGTCAATCCTTCCCTTGGGATTTCCTCATTCACATGCCAGTAGTGGTTTAGTAGTATTTTGTTCAGTCTCCACATAAACATGAAACAGTACCCAGAAATTGTGAGAAGCTATAAACAAGATTAAGGAACAATTGAAAATGACCATGTCATGAAAAACACCGAGAAAGGGTCAGATACAAGATGCAACTAGGAAAAAAAATGTACAACATGCATGTCAGAAAAAACACTAAGCTCTTTCATATATAAAAAGCTCTAATGAATGCATATGGAAAAAAAGAGATAAGTAACAGTGGAAAAGTGGACAAAGGAAACAAATTGGCCATTTATAGGAAGAGAAATATACTTGATCAACACAAGTGAGACCTGTCCAATGGCTTTTACAGTGAAGGTGATACAAACAACAGCAACGAGCTATGATTTCCATCCTTTCGATGGATAGAATTATGACTCTTGGTGGGTGAGGATGTGATGAGGGAGACACTCTGATACCCTGCTGTGACAATAGGAAAATGGCACAACTTATTTAGGAGGGAAGTTTGTCAATATCTTTTATGTTAAAGATGCAGATTTTAAGACCTGATATTCAACTGATAGGAATGACTTCTTCAGCTGTGCCTGTAGTTGTTGTAGTGAATCATGTACAGGTCATTGCTGCACTGACATGGTGCTAGTTAAATGACAGCACAGGCATGGGATGCCAAAGATTTCCAAAGCATGTTATTTGGGAAAAGCAAGCTATATAGAACAGAATGTATATGATGACCCTATTTATAGATATGTACGTATTTTTAAAGATATGTTCATATTAACAGTAAAATTTCAAGAACATTATGCAGTAGTAGAAAACAGTACATAGTAGTTAACTTCTGGGTGGTAAGGATATGAAGACTTTAATACAAGTTTTAGGCTTCTTTACTATTCCAATCTTTAAAAACTATGTGTACATGGTAGCTTCATAGTTCAAAAGCTGATTTGAATCAAAATACCTTGACAAAAAAGATAAAAACATATCTGATCGTGTCACACCCCTGTCCATGATCATTTAGTGGCAAAACCCCTGGGATGACAGGTCAAGGTGTTTGAGCCTGGAGATCTCTTGCTCAGTCCACTTGTCACAGGGAACCCTCCCAACATGCACTGTTCACCCTGAATCTCACACAGCCACGTGGGTGACATCTACTCCCTCCCTGTAGCCACAGTTTCACCTGATCCAGCAGAACCTTCATTGACAAGAGTGCAGAAGGCTTCTGAATAATTTAAGTTTCTAATTAAAATAATTCCTTTACATGTCAACTCTTGCTAAAAATTTTTTCTTAAATGCCTGCGTTCTGTAAATCCAATGAGGTGACTCTAACTTCAAATAATCATTGTCTCCCTTTGATGTGGTATTTCAGTATTTGAGAGTGATTCTTATTAATATGATGCTAAGGAGAGGCAGGTATGAAAAGTAAGAAATTTAAGGCTAAATATGAACTGGAACCAGAAAATTCCCCAATTAAAAATACAACTAAGTACTTTCATATTTTTTTCCCCTTTTCTATTCTAAGCTTAGAAAAACATTATCTCCTTAATTTTGAGTTCTAGGGACACAAATTTCACACTCGTGCTTGTAGTTAGTACCTGAGAAACTTTCTTGACCATAGTGGAGAGGATGCTTAATAGTGCTTCTACCTGAATCAACATGTGTTGTCAGTCTTAGAGGCAAGTTGACACAGGAAGTTAGAGCCACCAGGCTGCCACAGATAAAGCATTCATGCAGCATGTTTATAAATTCATTGCAAAAATTTTGTTTTAAAGACAATATAACATCTGTAGATGTGAGACTTAATTCAAACTATTGTGACCTCCTCTCTCTTCTCTGGTTCACCACTGGGGAAAGCATGTCCATTGAGTCTCAGGGCTGGTTTTGGGTCCCTCATGGGGCCTATGGTCATGGGGCCATAGATTTGGGGGTGGAGGAAGAGAGTGCACTGCTCTTATTTGTCACGGTATTTGCTGCTCTGTAGAGGTTTGTGTCTTGCTTTGCTACCCTATTCCTGGTCCTTTGGTTAGGGACAGACTTTTCTTGGGGCCTTGATTGTCTGCATTTGTTGGGGTTTCTGGGTTGCAGTCTTTTCTAGTACCATGTTAGGTACTAAAGTCAGGAAGCACAAAGAAAACTTAGGAAACTCACTGCATGTCATTCTTTGGGCCTCGAGACCCTTAGCTGGTCTGCCACCGTTCAGAAGCTCTTATGTTTGTTATATATATTGATATAATGTCTAGGGTTTTAAGTTGTACTTCATGAGAAAATTACAGCTACTAAATCTTTCCAGAATCTAAGTTTATTTTCACCTAGCATTTCTACAAAGAATACTTTGCCTGGATTATTCTGCGCAGAATAATTTGCCTAGATAACTTCTGCATTTCGTTTGTTGCTTTGCTGCTTTTAAGCAATCTGAGAGTGTTGGTTCATATTATCAGCAGAACACTGAAAATAGGAAGTGCTGAATGTGGCTTTCTTCTGACCCTCCTTGATGTAATGTGACTCATTTAAATTTATGTCTTAAAGAAAAGCTCAGTTGGGCTGAGCTGACAGCAGATTGGAGCTATGGATCCCAGGGTGCAAGGCAGCTCCCCACTGACCTGGGGTGACCCTCCCTCAACATTAGGAGCCATATGGTCTCAAATTTTTATCCAGCTTACATTGTCATCGGAGTCCTTGCTTTCCAGTGCCTCAATGGGCTCATATAACATAGTGTTCCAAATTTTTTCATTTGAAATAGACTCCACAAGTTCCATTTCTGGAAAGCATAACAAAAGGAAAAGACATTTGGAAAAGGAACCAAAACAAAAAGTAAACAGACACAGAAACAACAAAGGAAATAGATTCATGCCATCTACCTTTTTTGCTTTAAATAAAAATGCATATAGTATCAATAAGACTAAATAAATTCGTCAAATTACATAAAATTCAACTTGGAGATATTAATAAAATAGGCATAAAAGGGTAAGTTCAGTGACTGACTTAAGAGAGTGTGTGTGTTCCTGGTGGCTGTCAAGTTTCAGCTCACAGTGACATTTGAGTGAGTCCAGAATGAAGCAGGGGGTCAGGGAACAGTGTTCCCAGCCGGGGAATAGGACATACAAAGGTCCTGAGGTGGGAGTGTGATTGAGGTATTTGACAAATTGCAAGAGGCACAGTATGTCTGGAGAGGAGCAGCTGGAGGAGACAGCAGGAGGGGCGATGGGGGGCAGCAGGGCCAGTAGGTCCAGCTCATGGAGGACCCTACAGGGCTGTGGGAAGGATGTTAAAATTTTATTCTGAGATTGATTGATTCTGGGTGTGATTTTTCTCTGAGAAATTTTGAGAAACATTCCTGTCTTCTGTCAGTTTTGTCAAAACTTGCCAATTTTCAGAATGGCATATGATTCATAATTGCTAATTAAAGCATCGGAGATGAATCCCCAAGCTAGAGAGATAGCAATCTCTCACTCAGAGAGATATCTCAATCAGAGATGGCAAATTCCTTTGTTCTCAGGGTCAACCACATCCTCCTGACTCCCTGGGTCCGAAGAGGGGCTTAAAGCCTCCAGTGCCAGTGGGGTGCAAATTGAATTGAGGAATTGATAATTACAACTTGGGCTTCATTTCCCAGTTCCTGGGAAGGTGTGGAACCTGAGGGGAGAGCTTGGAGAAGGGGACCTTACATGATAATTGGGTCCCCTGGGAAATTATGGAGGCCTGTTGTCTCTGCTTCAGGAGAACGACAGCCTCTTCCAGCTGGGCCATCCAGAGAGCTCTGAAGATCCACCAGGTCGGTGCAGGACTGAGTTCTGTTGAGTCTGACTGCTCACTATGCTTTTGGGGTAAAGGAAGGGCAGTGATCTCTACATGTGTTATATTTCACTTCCTTCCAGAGGTAAAAACTCGTACTCCCTAGGGCCCTGGTGGCATGAAGAACTCCACTCAGCCACCATCAGACCCATGGGCCTTTCTGCCTGTGGAGTTCCAACCCCAGTCTCGGTTTGCTCCTGACAGAAACCTGCTGCATCTGCTGTGGACCCCTGTCTCACAGGTCCACACCATCCCCACTGACCCTCACCTGACAAAAACACTGTATGTCCCAAACTCTTTTGCTGTGGAAATGACTGGCAGAGAAGTTTTGGAAATCACTGAGGAAAGAGCAACAAGTGTCTATGGGAATTCAAGCAAGTACCCAGGAAATGCTTTCGGTTGTCAGCGGAGAGGAGACATGAGGACCTGGTAGAACAGGGAGGTCTGGAGAGATGGAGCTGCACCCTCTGGAAGGAGATTCTTTGAGTATGTGCCTGCCCTGGGTTGAGAATAAGAGTCTGACTCTGGCTCTGGCCCTGATAGTTTAGCAGATTCCTGTTATGTGTGACTGCTCTATTTTAGTAGACTTTATTGAATACTCATAGTTAATTTGAGGAGAAGTGTTTATTGAGGGAAGAAGGTAACTTGGCAGCCCTGAGAACTCAACAGCATTGTTAAGAAGCACATCTACTTAGTGTAATAATTAACCTTATTAACATTGGTGGGCATTGTCTACACATCAAGACAAGCACAGTAAATATGCAGAGACACAGTCATAACTGGGGCTGAATGAGAAGGGAAGACTTTATTCCTAATTAACTTTTTACCTTTGGGGTTTCTGTCAACCTTTGCCTTTGTTTTGGTGGGATCATTATCTTTCCCTGAAGTCACTCTATATGGGGTGGGGGTTGGGGGTGGGGGGCCTGCACTGTCTCTGGCCTGGTTGAATGGTGGCCCTGGCATCCAGGACCTGAGCCAGTCCCAGCACGTCACAGAGTCCCTTTGTACTCTCATCCCCTCATTTGTGTAATGGGGACCATCAGACTCCTCTTTAGGGTGCCTCCCAGGAGCAGTGCCAACGGAAGTGGATACCTGGCAATTAGGCTTCCCTAAAGTGGAGTGTAATTGAGAACAATGCTTAATTCTTCCCCATTCAATCTCTGCCTCTCCTCTCATGCTTTTTTGCAACACAACCACATTTGGTAAGTTGGGGTAGATGCTTAGGCATGTCTTTTTGTCCCCCAGGACAGGTCTCCATTTGTAGATGAGGAAAGAAGGGGAGAAGCGGAAGCAAACTAGCCAGAGCTCTAAGAAATGAGCAACCCAGCTCTGCTGATAAACCAGCACGCAGATGAAATGCAGGCCTGTTTTTGCCTCTGCAACCCTTCATATAGTGAATTCATATAGTGACAAGTGGGTCAAGGGATAGGTTGGTGTGGTGGTTGCTATGGATACAAATCTATACGCTGTTCTGAAACTTGCTACTCAAGTGTGATCCATGGATCAGCAGCAGTAACTGCTGTAGAGAGCTTATTAGAAATGCAAGGGCTGTGGGGGGCTTGTTAGAAATGCAAGATCTCAGACCTACTGAATCAGAATCTGTATTTAATAAGATCCGCAGGTGGTCATGCTGTACATTGAAAGTTTGGGCAGCACTGTGCTAAAACCCATCTGGAAATGGAGTAAGTTGAAGGAAATTCTATTGATCAGAACCCTTTGGAGGTGGGGTTGGGTGGTAGATGGGATATATAGTCTAGAGTTTGAAAGAGTTTATTTGATGGACCAGCAAGAATCCCCCTCTCCCCCCAGCACAGCCCTCCCCCCAGACTAGGGCACTCCACAGGGAGCAGGGATCTTTGGATATATTATGTGGGACTCTCACCGTATTCGTTTTCTCTTGGCACTTCGCTTTTAACATGTTCTGAAAAACAACAGGAAGGATGATTAATAGAATGCAGTATGGTGAATAGTGTGGCCCTTTTAATTAATCTACACATCACTTCTTAAATGGCTGGGGAGTCTATGATGGAAACCAGATGTTTTAGGATTAGAGCTTCCGTGGTCTTCTGGTTAGAAGTCAGTAGCTTAATGTTTAAGATATATCGATGCCCTTCCCTTTGTTCATATTTCATCTTGCCCACTAGAGTTTAAGTGCTGAGAGGGTCTCATTGATTTTGTCCATTTTTATATTTGCCTAGTATACAGTAGGTACACAATAAAAGCAGTATAGTATACAGTAAATGTATACTATACATTTGGTATAGACAATGGGTATGGACATTCCATTATCTTCCCTACTAACTCCAATGGTAACTGTTGTTTCTTCCCTTTCAAAATTTAATTTTAATTCAAGGCACTTTAATTAAAAGCATTTTACCCTTGGGCTTACTTTTTCACCTGAGCTTTGAGCCTTAACAGTAAACCTTAGAAAGAATGCATTGGCCACTGGTCTTAGTTAAGGCTGACCTCGTCTAAAATGATCAAAAGAAAACCCTCTTTGGGAGCATGCCCATTCTGTAGGACATGTCTTCTAAAATAATCATAAAATTAAAAGAGTAAACGGATACCTTCGAAATCGGGTTGTATGTGAGCTAGCAAAACTGTTGGACTTTCTTGCTTTTTTTTTGATTCTGATGCTGTTAAGAGACAAAAAAAAAAAAAGGTGGCTATTAATGATTTTAACCTCTCACATTCCAACGGATTCATATTGGACTGTTAGGGTCTGAGGTCCCTAGGCTAATCAACAGAGGGAAAAGCTGTGGTTGGAGGGCACTGCTGGCTTCTCTTGGATGCTCCCTCTGCTCCTCCTGCCCTCCTCTCCTTTGCTAAATTACTACAGGACTGTGATAAATCAGTAAGCTGCTGGGGTCCCCATGGGACCAACTTAGATCCCCAGGACAGGTAGGATGGCTGGGGCTGGGAAGGTTTTACAGATATGGCTCCTTTTATAGGAGGAGTGGCTGTAGGAACCATAGAACCTTTGGCTCTGGGACCAGGTAGACACATATTGGAATATAACCTGTCGTTGTACAAAGTAGTTGTTTCTGGTGATCTGTTGCCAAGACCTCCCTAAGAAGGGCATAATGGGGCCCAGGTAGGAATCATGGGGGCTATCTGGTATATATCCAGGAAAGTATGTAATGGGAGGCTACTGTACTTTTTTGAGAATTTTTTTTTAAAGATTTGTTTATGCTTACAAGAACTGGAGTACGGGATGGAGGTGCAGGGGTGGTGGTGAGAGGATTCACCACAGAGACAGAGTGGGGAACAGAACAGGCAGACTGATTAAAATACATTGCTGAGGGGAGCAGTGGGCGTGACAGGAGAGGTCTGCCGCACAATGTGGGATTCTTGCCTGCTGGCTAGGATTAAACCCACACTGCAGAGGCTGCGGACAGCTTCACAGCGTGGTGCTCAACCCGCTGCGCCACTGGGGAGGCCCCTTCCAGCACATTCTCTCATACCTTTTCACCCTCTGAAAGAAGTCTCTGTCATATTCACTCCATTCTATATACCAGACACAGTCATGCACCTATAGCTGGCAACGCTTACCCAGTGATTTCTAGTGTTTTCCAGAAATATACATGATAAACCATCTATATGGTATTCATGGAGAAAATTCTCCATGAATTACAGGAATTGCTTGCTTTTTCTCATGTTTTAAGCTATGCTCTAACCACTGTCCCTTCACATAATTCCAGGAACCTAGGGTGTGTCATTGATCTTGGCTTACAGACTCCAACACAGTCAACATCCTTGGTCCTGGTCTCCCACATCACAGATTTTGATCAGCAGGCATGTACTGTGGGTGGCTAGACTTTTATAGACATATAAACATATGTCGACTTTAAGGAGCTCAGTATTGGAAAGACCTTAGCTATAAAACATGCCCCTGTGGGCCAAATAAGCAGGGTGTTTAAAACTTAAATTAGACACAGGCATGATTAGGTGGGTCTGTACTGTGGAGGTGGGTCCCCAGGTTTGAACAGGCTCTAGTGCCCCTGTTCTCATATCCAGCCTTTTCTTATCTCTGCTGCATCTTTTCAAACTTAGCACTGGCACTTCCCAGGCAATTACCCAGTAAATGACTCTCAGAATTCTGCCTGAGAATATTTAGATAAATGCTCAGATTTTTCCCAGCTGTCATGCTTACTGACCGAAATGGTTCCAGTTCTCAGGGCTCCATCAGAGCGCGCTTGCTGACAAGACTCCTGCGTGAACTTCTTTAGCCTGAAAAGTACTCATCCTGTGTATGTGATGGATCCTGGTTTCTGGGGAGCTGCTTCTATCACTCCATTGTCTCTTACAGGTTTTCTGGCTCCTACTTTCATTTAACCACATTTGAGCTACAAAATATAGCAGGCACAGAGGCCAGCAGGGAGGTGAGGTGATGGGGGAATCTAATTTACTGCTGCCATGACTACAGATGTAATAAGAATTTGTGGATTCATGATGGATCAATCTTAGTAAGGCTGAATTTAAATTATTAATAATGGTGAGAAATGCTATTAAACATTCCATCCCTAGGATCTTCGAGTGAGGGGCTTTTGGGCTTGATAAGGTAGAGGATTAGGATCCTCAGTGCAATCTTGTGGAAGTCTCTTAAGTGACTCCCAGTTGTGGCCACAAAAGTTCACATTATGGATGGTTTGGGCTGGTTCTGAATCATGAGTGGTCTTGACTGCATGCTGAGACAGTCTGGGGTGGCCAGAGTCCCATTCACCACTGTCCATGTGACTGTCTGGTTGTGGTCTGTCACCCCAGGGAGCCAGTCTGTAATCTGGGGAGTAAATTGCCTGTGTCCCTAGGGGACCCAGGGGCTGTGTTCATGTAAAACAAGAACAGGAAGACTAATGGAGAAAGGAGTGTGTGGGTGTAGAGGGGAACTGCAGAGGATGTTTATTTCAGTGCTTTGTTGATATGAGGGGCATCTGGGATAGAGAAAGGGGACCACACGGCTAATTTCTTACCCAAAATGAGGCTTCAGGTGGCACAGGGAGCAATCTGTATCATTAGCATGACAGGCAATGCCAGAGCCAGGACATTTCACTTACATGGGATGTGCAGAAAGGTCTGCCCTCCGCCCCTGAGGTGCCTGTGGGTGTGGGCCTGCAGGGTGTGGCTTCCCTTACCTCTGCTGCCCTCGTAGATCCATTCCGTCTGTGTGCCCCTGTCTCTCCAGAACACCTTTTCTTCTTCAGTCTCCAAGAATGGATGAGCTAGCCCCATAAAGTAAGAAGTCTCTCTGGCAGGTATGGAGATGGAAGGGGTGAAAGCACAAAAGCAACAAGATAAATGAGAAAATGCCTGAGCTCGCCATTGGTGTAGCCATCCAAACACATAGCTATGCTTCTAATTGCTAACCTAGTACCTTTCTGAAACGGCCTTGAACAAACCTCCCAGCACTAACCACACTCCTTTTGAGTTGTTTCCTATTGACAGATGAATGGGAGATATGGGATGGCCCTGGCCAGTCATTCTGCCCAGACAACAACACTGGGTAGTGTTGTCACAGTACAGTGGCCATCAGTGTCACAGGTGAATATCTTCCAACAATTCTGGGGGAGTCTGGTGTTTGCAAACTCCTTCAACTTCTGTTGGCCTTTCTTTTCCCCTCCTATCTGAGGAGAACCTTGCAGGATAGAGTATTCTTGGCGGGCAGTTTTTATCTTTGGGTTTTTTGATGATGTCATGTCATACTCTCCTTGCCTGTAGTGTTTCCTCAGAGAAATAAGATGTAAATTTAATCAGAACAAAGCAGGGAAGTTCCTGTGACCCCATCTTCTGTGAGCCCCTTCTTTCTTTGTATCTACTGTCAACCCACCAGTGGAGATTATGATCCCCTTCTCCTAGCTGTCCTTTGGGGCTAAAACACAAGGTCTGTGAATCACAAGCCTTGTGATCCCCCTCACCCCATAGGTTTCTACGAGCTTTGTACAAGGCCCTCATTCATTTGTTCTGTAGGAGTCTGTTGACTGTGTATAGTGTGTGCCAAGCCCTGTGCCAGCTTAATAAGTACTCACAGAATGATAATTTAGACTATGAAATACACCTGAAAAAGGAAGATTACAACTTCCTTTTGGGCATTTCTCCTTCCCCTCCCCACTGGCACTGCCCATAAGCCCCTTGCACTTTCTCTGCAGTTCAAGCCTTCTCTCCAGCCTCAGATCACTCTAGCCCTTTCATCTCTGTAGTTCTGGGTATCCAGGACCCTGATTTTGGGACCCATCTTTCATTTTTTTAAAGATTTATTTATTTATGCATACAAGAACTGGGGTATAGGCCAGAGGTGTGGGGGGTGAGAGGATTCACCAGAGATAGAGTTGGGGGGGGGCAGAACAGGTGGACTGACTGAAATACACTGCTGAGGAGAGCAGTGGGTCAGTCAGGAGAGGTCTGCTATGCCATGTGGGTAGCTCCCTGGTCAGGGATTGAACTTGAACTCGTGCTGCAGTGGCTGCGGATAGCTTCATAGTGCTGATGCTTAACCCCTTGTGCCACCAGGGAGGCTCCTTGGTACCCACCTTCCATCCTGCGAGTGAGTAGCACAGGGGAGCAGTATCAGGCATCCTTTGTGTGTGATATGTGAAGGAACTCCCTACTGAACCCCTCCTTCCTCAGTGGAACTGCTTCCCCAGCTCCTCTCCCAGCCTCACCCTTCCCACTTCCTGTATTTGGGACTGCCAAGCATCATCCCTAAGCATGAATTTCCACCTGGCATATCAAAAAACAAAGCTATTACCTTGATTTTTCATCAAACAGGATTTGTGTTGAATAAGACATAGTGGTTTCTATTGGAAAAAGGAACAAAAAGATAATATTGGTTAAAAAAAAGAAACATCTTTCTGTTTATAAAAGTGTTGCTAAGTACGCAATACTAGGATTTTGTGGAGAGCCCCCATTTTATAGGATTTTTTCCTTTTCCTTAATGTTTTCTCTCTTACTGAATTTCTTTAGAAATATTCAAAGATTAGAGAACTTGAGATCATGTTTGTGAAATCATGGGTTTTAAAAATTCATGTTTGCTTTGTAAGTCTTTTGGGTTATCATAGCAGCTTCTCTCTGTCGTGGGATGGATGATATTAGTACAGGAAAGATGGCTGAAGGTTCAAAGGATATAAATACTTTTAAATATTATTTTTAATTTTAAGGAACATGTTTGTGTCACTGAATCATCTGATTGTTTGGCCAGAATGATACAACATCAAAAATTTCAAGTATAATTGGTATAATATATGCCATCAATTCTAGTAGTAGAGAATTACGCAGTAAAGAAATGAGAATCAGAAAATTTGAAACTTAAAGGTTCAGTGCTTAAGCTTATTCATAGTTTACCCATGCAACAAATTTTATTAAGGCATACTACTTGGTTTTAAAAGAGGTGTTTAACTACATGACATGCACCTCAAAGGCATCTTTACAGACACATCACCCAAAGCAGTGATAGTGAAGGCAAAGATAAACAGCTGGGATGACATCAAATTAAAGAGCTTCTGCACAGCAAAAGAGACAATAACCAAAACAAAGAGAAACCCCACCAACTGGGAGAACATTTTTGCACCCAACACTAATGATAAAGGACTGATCACAAAAATCTGCAAAGAGCTGATAAAACTCAACAAAAACAAAGAAAATAATCCAATCAAAAAATGGGCAGAAGAGCTAAAAAGAAACTTCTCCAAAGAGGAAATGTGACTGGCCAACAGGCATATGAAAAAATGTTCAGCATCACTTGCAATCCGGGAAACGCAAATCAAAACTACCATGAGATACCATCTCACACCAGTGAGAATAGCACATATTAAAAAAACTAGCAACAACAAATGTTGGCGAGGATGTGGAGAAAAAGGAACTCTCCTGCACTGCTGGTGGGAATGCAAACTGGTCCAGCCACTATGGAAAGCTGTGTGGAGATTCCTCAACCTGCTAAAGATGGAGCTTCCATATGATCCAGCAATTCTACTCCTAGGCATTTACCCAAAGGACACAGAAACATTCATTCCAAAGGACACCTCCTGCACCCCTATGTTTATCGCAGCACTATTTACAATAGCTAAGCTTTGGAAACAACCCAAATGCCCACAAATAGATGACTGGATCAAGAAGATATGGTACATATACACAATGGAATATTACTCAGCAATCAAAAAAGATAAATTCGGGCCTCCCCGGTGGCGCAGCGGTTGAGCGCTGGGTTGCGAAGCTGCCCGCGGCCTCTGCGGCGCCGGTTCGATCCCCGGCTGCTCCCGGCCACCGGCGGAGGATCCACATGGCGCGCAGACCTCTCCTGCCGCCCGCTGCTCCCCTCAGCAGTGTGCCTCGGTCCTTCTGCCTGCTCTGCTCCCCGCTCTGGCTCTGGTGAATTCTCTCACCCTCCCGCGCTTCTGACTGTACCCAGTGCATGTATAAACAAAACAAGCAAACAAACAAAATAAATAAATAAAACATGCCTCTATAAAAAAAAAAAAAAAAAAAAAAAAAAAAAAAAAAGATAAATTCATGCCATTTGCAGCAACATGGATGGTGCTGGAAGGGATCATGCTCAGCGAAATAAGCCAGAAAGAGAAAGAAAAATACCGGATGGTCTCACTCATAGCAGGAATCTAGAAAACCTGAATAAGGGACCAGGAAAAAGAATAACTATAAGAAAGAAAAAATCAAAATCAACAAACAACTATGAACCAGAGACACACTATGGGGGGGTGGAAAGGAGGATTGGGGCTAAAATAAGGGGGGTGCAATTGTATGGGGAATATAAAAATTAAAAAAAAAATAAAAGGAGTGTTTACAAAGATTAAGCCACATATGCAAATCTTGAAATCATAATAATAAATTACAGAAGTAAGACACAAAATTATAGATATAATATGTTTAAAGAACCACCACTAATATATATTGCCAAAAATAGGAGTGGGACAGATACAATAAGAGTGGGAGGGACAGAATAAAAGTAACGTGAATTAGCTCAATTTATATTTGGATGCTGGTAGGTTGGGGGTGTTTCTCTACCTTTTCTTTTTCTTTTTTTTTTCATTAAAATGAGCAAAAGTGGACTGAGTTTTTTTTAAATGTCATTCTCCTAAAATTAAAATATGCATATCATTCATTTATTAAAAATAGAAACAAAGGAAGAAAGAAGTTGATATTAGAAAAAGAAGAGAAAGCTTGCCATAGGGATTAAAGCCATGGAATCTATTGCCAGTGTTTTCTTCTATATATTTTATTGTTGCTGGTCTTATATCTAAGTCTTTAATCCATTTAGAATTTATTTTTGTGCATGAAATTAGAGAATGATTCAACTACATTTTTTTACAAGTGGCCATCCAGTTTTCCCACCACTACTTAAAGAGTTTCTCTTTTCCCATTGTATAGTTATGGATTCTTTCTCATGATTAGGTATTGATATGTACATTAATTTATTTCTGGGCTTTCAATTCTGTTCCACTCATACATCTATTTTAATTTCCTATTGTTTTAATTACTGTTGCTTAATATCATAGTTTAAAGTCAGGTAATGTAATGCCTTTGCTTTTGTCTTTTTTCTCAGGATGCTCATGCTATTCAAGGACTTTTATAGTTCCATTAAAATTTTTATTTTTTTGCCAATTTCTTTGAATAGTATCATTGGTATCTTGTTAAATTGATATTGCTTTTGGTAGAATAGTTATTCGATATTGATTAGTCATTTTCATTATATTGATTCATCCCTTTCACAAGCATAGAATGTTTGTCTATTGCCTTATGTCATGACCTAGATCTTTTAATAATGTCTTGTAGTTTTCATTGTGTAGTTCTTGGTTAGGTAAATCCCTAGGTATTAGATTATTTTTGAAGTGATTGTGAATGTAATTATTTTTTTGATTTCATTTTCTTCTTGTTACTGCATATAAAAATGCAACAGATTTTTATATATTGATTTTATAACCTGCCATTTTGTTATATTCATTTATTGTTTATAATAGAGTCTTTAGAGTTTCTATATGTAGTCTGTCACCTGAAAATGATAGTTTCATTTCTTTTCCAAACTGGATTCCTTTTATTTCCTGTTCTTGTCTGGACACTGAAATCTCCAAAACTAAATTAAACAGAAGTTGTGACAATGCGCATGCTTGTTTTTTCCCTCTTTTAAACAGAAAGTTTTCAGTTTTTCACCATTAGGTATTATATTGGCTGTAGGCTTATGATATATGGCCTTTATTAGTTGAGTTTGGTTTCTTCTACTCTCATTGAGAGTTTTTAATCATAAATGGGTGCTGACTCTTATCAAATGCTCTCTCTGCATCTATTGATATAATCATGATTTTTATCTTTGTTGATAAATTACATTGATTGATTTATGTATATTAAAATATCCTTGTAACCTTAGGATAAATCCCACTTGATCATGATTCATAAACCTTGTCTAATCCTTGTATCATTGAATTCTATTTGCTAGTGTTTTGCTAAAGGAATATTGGTCTGTAGTTTTCTGTTCTTGTGCTCTCTGGTTTCAATATTAAGGTATTTTTGGCATTACTCAATGTATTAGGGAGCATAACCTGTTTTTTCAAATTTTAGAAGTAATTTGAGCAAGATGGACAAAAGCTCTTCTTTTTATTTTTATTTTATTTTATATATTTTTCATTTTTGCACAATGTATGCATTTTCATCTTGGTTATAGTCCCCATACAATTCCCACCCCCCTTATTTTGACCATAATCCCTCCTACCTGCCCCCAACCCCATAGTGTGTCTCTGGTTTATAGTTGCTTGTTGATTTTGATTTTTACTTTATTAGTCTTTTTCCTGGCTTACCTTATTCAGGTTTTCTAAATTCCTGCTATGAGTGAGACCATCCGGTATATTTCTTTTTCTTTTTCTTTCTGGCTTATTTCGCTGAGCATGATCCCTTCCAGCTCCATCCATGATGCTGCAAATTGCATGAGTTTATCTTTTTTGATTGCTGAGTAATATTCCGTTGTGTATATGTACCATATCTTCTTGATCCAGTCATCTATTTGTGGGCATTTGGGTTGTTTCCAAAGCTTAGCTATTGTAAATAGTGCTGCTATAAACATAGGGGTGCAGGAGGTGTCCTTTGGAATTAATGTTTCTGTGTCCTTTGGGTAAATACCTAGGAGTGGAATTGCTGGATCATATGGAAGCTCCATCTTTAGCAGGTTGAGAAATCTCCACACAGCTTTCCATAGCGGTTGGACCAGTTTGCACTTCCACCAGCAGTGCAGGAGAGTTCCTTTTTCTTCACATCCTCGCCAACATTTGTTGTTGCTAGTTTTTTTAATATATGCTATTCTCACTGGTGTGAGATGGTATCTCATTGTATTTTTGATTTGCATTTCCCTGATGGCAAGTGATGCTGAACATTTTTTCATATGCCTGTTGTCCAGTCACATTTCCTCTTTGGAGAAGTTTCTTTTTAGCTCTTCTGCCTGTTGTTTGACTGGATTATTTACTTTGTTTTTGTTGAGACTCTTCAGCTCTTTGTAGATTTTTGTGATCAGTCCTTTATCATTAGTGTTGTGTGCAAAAATTTTCTCCCAGTGGGTGGGGTGTCTGTTTGTTTTGGTTACTGTTTCTTTTGCTGTACAGAAGCTCTTTAATTTGATGTTGTCCAGCTGTTTATCTTTGCCTTTGCTATCACTGCTTTGGGTGATGTGTCTTTAAAGATGTTACTGAGGTGCATGTCAAGTAGTGTTTTGCCTATATTTCCTTCTATATATTTTATGGTTTCAGGTCTTATGTCTAGTTCTTTAATCCATTTTAAGTTGGTTTTTATGCATGGTGTTAGGAAG